TTTTCCTCCTTCAGTATTTATTTTTACTTATATGGCCTCACCTCTTGCCAAATCAATTCTATAGCAGCAATTTTCCCCTTCCACCAAAGCAATTGCTATAGCAGTAATTCTTCCTAGATGTTTTTTTCTTAACTAGGTTCAAACTGATGATATATATAAAAAAAATTGGAATGAAAAAGCTGAAAAGAAACTTCAAGCCAGATTCTGCTTCATTTCTTTTATTCATGAGGGGCAGATTCTTAAGACTTCAAGTCAAATTACATTACAAGCACACACATTCATTAAAAAGATCCTAGAAGCAAACTCCACTATCTTTACTTCAAATGTGACCAGAGTGGGAAAGACTATTGTGAGAGATTAGAGTAGTGTTCCTCAAACTTGGCAACTTTTAAAATATGTGGACTTCAACTCCCGGAATTCCCCCAGCCAGCCATGAGAAAGAATGGATTAGAGGCTGGCAACAGTCATAACATCTGATCTGACTAGATGTGTGTTATTTGTATTCAGCTACTATAAGGCTGTCTCCATAAATGAGCCTACTGTGTGAGAAACATGTAACTGATCTTCCCTACCTAGTATATCAACATCTTCTACTTTTACCAACCATCAGATATTGATGAGTTCTTCAACAAAGCTGGGCTTTCTTAATAACAACAGTTGTATAAACATAAGGTTCTCTTTGTTAAAGAGAAACAGACATCAAAAAGCAGTAAAACATGAAGCCTTAAACCCCTTTTTGTTTGAAAAAAATGTGTTTGAACTGAGGTGTTTCTAGTTATGGGTGAATGCAATGAGAATTCAGCTGCAACAAATAGGCAACCATTCCCTATGAAGGACTAATTAGATCCATCTGAGAAACTATGTCTACACTGCTTTACACATTTCAAAAAAGAAAGCTCTGCTCTAGTCTTTTGAAAAGGCTACATCAAAACAGTTAGTCACAGCTGATGCACATCTAGTCAGTACAGTAGTTTTATTTTCTTTTCATTCTATAAAGCCTTAAGAGCCACATTAAAGTCATGGTAATACGCCTGTCTTGCCCTGAGAAAGGCAATGAAATTTAGAGCAAAGAAAGCAAGCTTTGGCAGCATAATTCTGAGAAATTTCCCCACTGGGCAGATTTCAGAGATCACTTAACAAGATGAAATAGCTCAAACATCAGACATGTTCCATCAATGAAACAGTTAAAAATGAAGAGCTAATATTCAGGATACAGAGAGTTAACTATTTCTTTGGCAGATTTATATCTGGTACTTCAACTTTATCATGGAAATGCTAATAGATATAATTGAGTATGGGCAAACCAACAGCAGGAGTTCACGGTTATAAGCTATGACTTCAAAGCAGATGGTCACAGTCTACCTACTGTGCAATTATGTGTGTCTCATTTATTTCAGTGATGCCAAACATTAGGATTGGCATAGCCAGTGTGGGCTTACAGCAGAGTTCAGATGTTTGCTAATACTGGGACCTGAAACTAAAGGATCTAGCAATAAAAATAATATCTTCTTGCAAGATTCAAAATACATTAGTAATAACCATCAGAAGCTATTTGCTTCTACTGCTAAAGCTTTCCCTAAAAATGAGTCTATGGCCATAAGCCAGGAATGGCATGGAGTGGAACTCATTTTGGTTCCTCTAATGAGAAAAATAAACATTACTAACCCCCAAAAGACATAAAACAAAAAGTAATAAAAGAATTTTAAAATTACATTTTACCACAGATTATTTTCATTGAATGAGCTGAACTCTTAATTAATTAGAGGTCTACTCCTCATGAGCAAGAGCCATGTCCCTTGGCCATATGAACTAGAAAGGAAGGATCCAAACACTCCTTATTTCTAGAACATTCTAACTGAAGCTCCACAGTAGAATCCAGAAATGTACAGAGATAAAAAAAAGTATTCACTTTCATTAAATGTCCCAGAATTCCAGTATTTTTAAAACATATTTTAGAATTAATACCAAATCATCTAAAATTATGTCAATATATGCCCATAAGAACAATTGATAAGAAAAATAAACAGAAAAAAAATCACTTGGGGCAACAATTAAAAAAAGGAGATAATTTATATAGTAAAAAACAGAGAGCTGGTTAGGATAAATGAAAAACAATTCCCCTTAATTGTCTTTCTAGGCACTTGAGAGAGTGTGTGTGTCTGTGTATTATATAATATTCTGTCCTTTAGGTGGAAGCAAATAATAGACTGGACTCAATTGGATTTTGATGTGTTGTCTTTGGTCTTGGACCTGATATCAATCTTGCCCAACTAAAATTCTAATCTTCTAACCTACCATATATATCAGGGGATCTTCAAACTTGGCCCTTTTATGACTTGTGGACCAACTCCCAGAATTCCTCAGCCAGCATGCCTGTGGACCAAGGAGGAATTCTGGGAGTTGAAGTCCACAAATCATAAAAGGGCCAAGTTTGAAGACCTCTGATATATATCCTGATAAGATTCAAGATAATGATTCTGAATATATAATTTCAGTATGTAAGATTGGCTGTATATACAGTAGTACTTTTAATATTTATTTCCTCACACTTATTTAGTCCCTCTAATGCGAACAGGAGGTCTTATACAAGGTTGGACTAAGATCCATATTTAAAGAACAACAGTAAAGAAAGATGAGAAAAAAATAACAATTATGGTTAGAAGGTGCATTTAATCAACAAGGTCACAAAAGCAATGCAAGTGGACGTAATATTTCAAAATAATATGGTAAGTGTGAAAAATTAGAAACAAAATGTGCTTCAAAAGAAAATATTTCTACATATATATGTGGAATAAATGTGTTAAATATTGCTGGAGAAAATACAAGTTTGTCAACTAATCAAAATGGATTACCTGAAGCAAAACATCACAATGAAACTATTTCAAGCTATAAATAATAACTTTAATTTTTAAATTTTATTTCATGCTAGTGCTTTCATAAAAGCAGTGAATTATTTCCTGATGTGTAAGATGGCATCTGAAACTTTTTCCTAGATTGTATCTGCAAATATAACTGTTCCTCATTTTGGTTTCCAGCCACAAAGCAATATAAAGCTTGTTGGAAGTAAACTCACTGGAGAAATAATTCCTCTGCGTTCCATATCAGAACATACCAGGTGTGATTGAAGGGACAGTAAAAAGACAAAAGCAAAAACCAAAAACTACTCTGAATTCTAAAGTAAAACTGTTTGACATTTAAACAGTTGGAAGTATGATACGTGGAGATAAAAAAATTATTCCCAAGATATTTAATATCAGGAGGGAACCAAAATGAGCATGTTTCCAGTTTCCCCATTGCGAGATATATACAATGGTGGGATTCAAATATGTGAACAACCAGTTCTCTGTGTGGATGCCACTTCTGGAAGTCCATTCTGGGCCTGGGAACAAAAAATTAGTTATCGCTTCTGCCAAAGTGGTGCAAACCAGCTGAATCTCACCACTGGATATATACAGCAAAGAGGAAAATAAACCAAACCAATATTGAGAGAGCAGAACTGAGTTGGGAGAGGGCACTCCACAATTATTTATATTTATTTTTTTGTTCCTCACTAAAGAGTCTCCACTGTGGAGCAGAATATAGGACAGTATAATTCTAAGAACTAAATCTTTTGTATATTGTTTATTATATATATTCAGCTGTTGTACTCAACATACTTGTAAAATCAAATATGTAATAACAATAGATAACAACTATATGCATCTATGTTTTTAACTTTTACTATTAGTTTTGCTCCAAATTTAAAGTATATTTGTTCTATAAATAATCTCAAGAAGGAAGTATGTTGACATCATTTCAAAGCCAAATTGCTCTCTACAAATTAGCTTCTTGAAAGATCAGGGTAGCCCAGAGAGCTCACAATGAATGGAATAATTGCAAATTAAGGAACTGACTTTGAGGAAGGACATATACAGGTAGTTGATTTAGGACAACAATTGGGACTGGAATTAGTGTTGCCAAGTAATATTTGGTAGCCCCTGCCACCTCCCAACAACCAAGTCAATGCAGAAGACAAGAAGTTGCAAATACCAGATGCCCGCAAGCAGGCAAGTAGGTCCTGCCAGATAGGGAAGGGCACACAAGAGTGCAAGGGAGGTGTGGCAAGGATTGGGGAGGGTCCACAAGATGATGAGTTACTACATGTGAACCCATGTGCATTCTGAAACACCTTTTTCTATTTGAAGCTGTTAAGAGAACAAATGTCCTAGATGGGAGGAGGGCTCAAATGGGGAATTAGCATGAACTTGTTGAATGCAGTTGAGATTTATCTAGTCTGCCAATCTGGGAAGATTCCTGTGAAGTAGGCATAGAACAATAAAGTAGCTAGTTTGAACTCTATACAGGTAGTCCTTAACTTATGACCATAATCGAGCTCAAATTTTCTGTTGCTAGTGAGACATTTGTTAAGTACATTTTGCCCCCATTTTATGAGCTTTCTTGCTATGTGAATCACTGAAGTTGTTAGTAACAAGGTTGTTAAGTGAATCTGGCTTCCTCATTGACTTTGCTTGTCACAAGGGCACAAACGGTGATCATATGACCCTGGGACACAGCAACCATCATAAATACGAGTCAGTTATCAAGAATTTTAATTGTGTGATTATGGGGACATTGCAACACTCATAAATGTGAAAAATGATCATAAGTTGCTTTTTTCAGTGCCATTATAACTTTGGTTACTAAACATACTATTGTAAGTGAAGGACCACCTGGTTGTTCATGCCTGACATGTACATTTATTCTGACATGTTTTTGATGATTACATTCCATTACATAAGATGCTTTTGATGAAATTGATCTAAAAACTTAAATCAAAAAACACTTGATATACTTTACAATGCAACAAGATTTATAGTTTATTTCCTAAAAGCAGATCAACAGAAATATCCCTTTCTGGAAACTACTCAAATGCTTTTATTCTTCAGTTTAAATCTTGGAACTTAATCAAATATACCACACAATTACAAAATGCTATTTATTACAACAGTGAGAATACTTACGAAGAAAATGGATTCTTGACAAGAAGCTACAACTGAATGAGTTGTGTCTCCAAGCTGGACACATAATTCCCAGTTTTTTGTATTAGGTTTGGCAAGGGAAATCCTAAAACAAAACAAGGTAACATATTATAAATAGCTTCAATTTGGTTAATTAAGCTGGCTAAGTTAGTGCTTTTTAATTGTAAAGAGAAAAGTGATGAATATGCTTCTTCAAACTCCACTCAACTAACGCTAGTTGGGGGGGGGTCAAGTATGTTACAGTCTTTGGTCTTACAGGTTTGTGAGGGAGGCTTATACTCAGACTTGAAACAAAATCCTAAATACTTTAGTCTGACACGATATAATGGTAGCTTCTGGGCAGGTGTATCCACATTCTAATTCTCCTCTGAGAATTAGAACTGCTCTGTAAATAAGCAATGTCAGAAATATTGTGCTCCTACTGAGGATTTATCTTAAAAGATAAACAAGCTGAACTATTTTCTTATTAATAAAAACAGCAACAAAACTGCAGTAATGGTTTTCAGTGTTAAAATATAGAAATATACATAATTTTTCCAATAGTCCTTACTGTAAATTCACTGGGTCTTTGAAAACAGACCAAATTACAAATTTTAAGAAAAAGAAGCAATATTTGAATATATTTCTGGAAAGAAATACTTCAAAGAACAAGAAGCATATAAATGAGTTTAGCTCAATATACAAATCAGTAATATTCAAGATTTCTAAAATGAAAATTTCAGGGAATTACTAGTCTCCAATGCAAACTTTGTATTTTTCAGTAACTACCTTTACAATCATATTAAAGAGTTTGTCCTTTCATACTGTCCTTAAAGTTCATTCTGCTGTGATGTTCTAGACATCTGACAATTTTTAGGCTATGCCAGCTGCTTACCATGCTAATCATAATTTCACATTGTTACCCTATGCTCTCTTCCATCCTTTTCATTTGGCTACCTGTTCATTATCATAATTGGCCCCACTTTTCTCCTTGAGTTCCTCTTCTGTGATTGTACGCCCTTGTTATAACTCAACATATGTTTAGTGATTTCATTACACCAGAAGCCTATCTCTTTTCAGTTCTCTACAAATACTACAAATAATCCTATACCATGCTATTTTTTTTTAATGACATCTATAGAAAAGGAAGCCTGGTGAACTTAATCCCATTTAGGAAGATATGTCATCAAGAAACTTCCTGACTGTCTTTATATGTAATTACCCTTCCTAAGTTCATAAATTTTGGGTGCATAAATATCTCCAATGTCGATGAGAACGGAGAGTTGAAAACAAGGAAAAAATTATTAGAAGATGGCATAGAGCTGGAATGGTGGGCATATCTGCAAATATAATCACGATACAGAAAAGATAAAAAAGAACCCGGGATAAAATTAGAACACACAGAATTAGATAAAATCTTATTAGGAACAGAAGATAAAAACAATAAAAAAGATATATCAATATTTATTAGAACAAGACATGCTAGAAGAACAAGTTAAAGATACAATGCTAATTTGGAGCAAAAATTTTGGCTATAGTATTGATTTAGGTAATTAATAATTATTATGGGATAGGAATAGGAGGCTAACGTTAGCCACCACCTATAAAGAAATCTATATAAGATGTTCTACAGGTGGCATCTTCCCCCCATAAGATTAGCAAAAATGGACAAAAAAACCTCACTGATATGTTGGAAATGTAGAAAATTACCAGGGACCTACTATCACATGTGGTGGGAATGCCCAAAAGCTCAAGAATTTTGGCATCTGATAAAAAATTGGTTGGAAGAGATATTATCACAAAAAATTGAATTAAAACCAGAAACTATTTTATTAGGGATTACCAAGGAGAAATCCAGCAAAGGATTTTTATATTTAGTACTGCATATTCTAACTGCAGCGAGACTAGCCTATGCTCAGAAATGGAAGAGAAAAGAAACCCCTACTGAAGAAGAAGTAATAAATAAAATCCTATCCTGTGCGGAAATGGATAGGTTAACATTAGAGCTTAAAAATAAAACCGAAACAGACTATTTCGAAATTTGGAATGGAGTGTATAAATGGCTAGAGTCAAGGAGGAATGCTGGGATGAATGTTGATTGATAAGTTGATAGTTTAGAAATCTTTATACTAGTATTCCTTAAAAGATAGAATTGAAAGTTATTTCACCACAATGTAGAAAGAACGCTTATTAGAAAGATCACAGATCCTACATACATATTTTTTTATAATGTAAAGAAAGTTAATATTAATTGTATTGTTTAAACCAGGAAAGTTATATTATGTCCACTGTTTTTTTTAAACTGTATATTCAATAAAATTTTTGTAAAAAAAATAATAATAAAAAAAGAAAACTTCCTGACAACAAACAAGTAATAATAATGGAACTGAATTCTTGATGTATGTAGATTAAAACTATAATTTGTATATAAAACAATCAATCTTAAACTGTAACAACAAATTCATAGATTTAAAAGACTCAGCATCCTAGATAAATCAAATTTTATTGAATTTATTATGCAAGGTTAATTGTTCAGTACAGTAGATTCATGACATATCTAAGCTACAATTCCTTATATCTTCAGTTTAAAACACATACAAGTAGTCCTTGACTTACAACAGTTTCTTTAGTGACCGTTCAACATTACAGTGGCACTGAATAAAGTGGCTTATGACTGTTTTTCACACTTACAACTATTGCAGCATTCCCCATGGTCACGTGATCAAAATTCAGATGCTTAGCAAGTGGTTCACATTTATGACAGTCACAGTGTCCCGGGGTCATGTGATCAGCTTTTGTGACCTTCTGACAAGCAAAGTCAATGGGGAATCCAGATTCACTTGCCAACCATGTTACTAACTTAACAAATGCAACGATTCTCTTAACAACTCTGGTAAGAAAAGTCATAAAATGGGGCAAACTCACTTAACAAATGTGTCACTTAGCATCATACATTTTGGGTTCAATTGTGGTCGTAACTCAAGGACTATCTATATGACTTACTCTAATGGAGCTTGCCATCATGGTCACACGTCATAACAGCTATAAAATGGGTTACCCATGTGAACAACTCGATTTTATGTCCCTTTTTGCAGTAGCTGTTTAAGCAAACTTCATGGCTGTAAAGTGAAAGCTATGGTCTTTAAACAACCAATGGTTCACTATGGACCAGTTTTGCTGAAAACTGGAAGTAAATTCCATTTTTTTTTATTGAAAATTTTATAAACTTTTTACAATAAAATACCTCCCTCCCACCCCATAACCCTCCCCCCTCCTTCCCAGAGCTGAATACAGGGTTAAAGAAACAAAAAAACCCATACAAATTAAATGAACATCAATCAACTATACTTACATCCAAAAAATTTAAAGTACTTTAACTCCAATACATAGAAACTACAAATCCAACCATACCCACTTTAAACTATAGATTATTCAAAAGCTAAATAATACTTTCTAATTCCATATTTATTCTGTACAAAATTTACCCATCTTTTCCACACAGAGATATATCTCTCTTGTGAATGGTCTTTCAGATAATCTGAAATTTTTGCCATTTCTGATAAATAAGAAACCATTCTTCTATAGTAGGCAAGGAATCCTTCTTCCAATATTGCCCAATCAGCAACCTTGCCGCCGTAATAAAATTTAACATTAAGGTAATCTCTTTAGCATCACAATCTACAATAATACCTAACAAAAATAATTGTGGTGTAAATTTTATTCTTCTATTAAAAATCTTCTGAATGTTCCACCAAATCTTAATCCAAAAAGCCTTTACATTTCTGCGTGACCACCAAATATGATAATACGTTCATCCAAACAACCACATCTCCAACATTTGGGCTGTACATTCGGATACATATGAGACAACTTTTGTGGATCAAGGTGCCACCTATAAAACATTTTATAAAAATTTTCTCATAAATTTTGAGCTTGAGTAAATTTAACATTCCTCACCCAAATTATCTCCCATGTATCTAATAAAATCGGCTCTTCAAAATTCTGAGCCCATTTAACCATACAATCTTTAACTAATTCTGTTTCTGAATCCAATTCCACTAAAGCATTATAAACTCTACCTTGATCTTTAATTTGTTTCATCAGATTCACATCTTCCATAGCAAAACCCACTTTTTGATCTATACTTCATCTTTCTAATAATTGCCTATTCTGGAACCAAGAATAAATAATATTTTCTTGCATTAATTCCTCCATAGATTTTAATTGCCAGTTATTCCCTTCCCACATAAGCAATTGTTTGTAAGAAATCCTATCCATTTTCACTCCTTTTCTTATCCCCTCTATTGCGTGCCCAGGAATTCCCCACAACGGTATTTTAAAATTTAATCTATAATATTTCTTCCAGACACGCAATAAAGCAATTCTTAAAACATGGGACTTAAAAACCCTATCCACCTTTTTATTATAAATTAAATATGCATGCCATCCAAATAATAAATCCCATCCCTCCAAAAAAAGTATATTTAAATTTGTTAAATTAACCCAATCACTGATCAACATTAAAACCACCGCATCATAATACAATTTCAAATTCGGCACCTTGAGTCCACCTCTCTCTAGAACATCTTGAATAATTTTAAGCTTAACTCTTGGTTTTTTCCCAGCCCAAATGAATCTATTAATACCCTTCTGCCATTCTTCTAAATTTACCTCTTTCTTTAAAATAGGTATCATTTGAAACAAGAAAAGAAATTTTGGCAGAACATTCATTTTAACTGCAGCAATTCTCCCTAACAAAGATAATTGCAATTTTTTCCAATCATTCAAATCTTCTGCATTTTAAGCCATAACATTTCATAATTGTTTTTATACAGTTTTACATTAGAAGCAGTTATATAAACCCCCAAGTATTTTACCTTTTTTACAATTTCAAAACCTGTCAAATTAACTAAGATCTCCTTATCCGAATTAGTCATATTTTAGATAATATTTTAGTCTTTTTATTATTGATTTTAAAACCAGAAACTTGCCCATACTGATTTATAATCTGTAACAACTCCAATACCGAATAGGTTGGTTGAGACAAAGTAACAACCAAATCATCAGCAAAAGCTCTTAATTTATAATCTTTCTTATTAATCATTA